TGTGTGTGTGTGTGTGTGTGTGTGTGTGTGTGTGTGTGTGTAGATGATGGGTAAATCACACTGAATGCTGTTGTCACCAGTCACATCTACCCTAGAAGCCCCAATAAAGATCCTCCTACCTGAAGGATCACGTAGATACACAAATGAGATGTAGAAATCTGTAATGATGTCTGGTCCACACCCTGTACTTCCTGCACTAACAGTAGCTATTGGCCATATTTAATTGACCGGTACCCATCCTACCCAAGAAGCACTTCCTCCTGCCCAAATGACATCTCAGACAACATGTTCCAACCAAGCTCTTCACCTTCTCCAAATCTGCCCCACCCATAAATTTCCCCACCCCAGTGAATGACAAGCCCATCCTGACAAGTCCTAGCCCAGAACCTTAGTCTTTGCTCTTTTTCCGCCTCCAGCCCCATCTGCTGTGTTATCAAGTCATATTCACTTTCACATCGATCCCAGATCTGACCCTACTCTCTTCATTCCCCTTCCTTCCTAATTAGAACCCTTATTTCCTCCCTGGCTTATTGCTAACTCTGCTGATGGTATTGCCCTGAGCAATAGATAGGCCAGTTGCCGTGTTTCTGCTCAAAATCTTCCACAGGCTTCCTGAGGATAAGTGAGAGTCCTCCTGTGGCTGTCCACAAAAGCTTGTAGGAAGTGGACTCCAAACCTCTCTACCCTTGCCTCATATTGTTTCCCTGCTCGTTAACTCCATCTGTGGTTATCCTGTCTCCTTCTTGGAGGCATGCTTCTCTCCAACAGCATGCCATTGCTTGTGTTCTCTCTCCAGAACACAACCCCCTTTGGGCTCAAACTCTTAAGTCTTCACTGAAAAATCACCTGCCCCCACCCAATCCTCCTATTCCACCTCCAGCTCTATCGTGTCTACAGTATATCACAGCTATACTTACAGCAGATGCCCGTGATCATTGTCTGCCCTTCTTACAACAATGTGAGCCCTAGCAGAGGGATTTTATTCTGGTTTGGTCACTAACATATCCCCAACATTTAAAAGTGGTTTTCAGCATACAGTGGGTACTTACTGGATATTGGTTAAATGAGAAAATTGCAATGAGGCCCCCTTGGAACTTGTGCTGCCCATGCCAGTCATAATGTTCTGCTGCTGGCACAGCTCAAATTGAGCTGAGAGAGTGCATACCAAAATGTCACAAACTGTTGCAAATGCTAAGACAGAGATTGTGCATGTACAAGACAGGCCTCAGAACAACTGGTGTCCACTAACCTCAGGGGGGAAGCCAGAGGAAGTTTCTAGAAGGGTGGGAGGTTCAAAGTGAGAATTGGATTTATAGGCAGAGCTTTAAAGGGGTATCCTGAAGAGAAGAGAGAACACAGGCACAGGCTAGGGACAGTACAGCCACAGTGGGGTGCAGACAGTGCAGCCATCATAGGATGGAGACATACAGCTGTGCTGGGGTGGGTACAGGGCAGTTATCATAGTATGAGGACCATGTAGCTGTGATCCTATGATGAAAGTATGGGTTGTAATCCTGGTGGAAAGAAAGAGATGCTCATGTCTCTCCTTTGGGCTATGAAGCTAACACCTCTTCTCAATTGCAAAAGTGGTGTGTTTAGCAGGCATGTAGAAACCCAGGCTTGAAACTGCCTCCAAAGAAAGATGCAAAAGACCCTGCACCTCACAAAGGAACAGGCCAAGAGGCAAAGAACTCTGACAGAGCTGGAAAAGATAGTGATCTTATATCCACCATCTCATAAGACCCGGAGACTTTTCAAATATAGGGAATTTTAAGGCATAATGTCTAGTGTACTTCTCTCTGGCCTGAACCAAATAAAAAACCCTCTGTGACAGAGAACAGAGAGAGTGGAGGCCACTACAGCTGCATCACCATCCTCCAAGAAAGGATGGTAGACCTGTCTGTTAGATCCACGTATCTTCTGTCTGTTGTCTTACAGTTTCCTACAAGTTGTAAGTCACCACGGTCATGGTGTTGAGGAAATTAGACCTTTCCTGCCAACCCGAGCTGAGCCAAATTGTAAATCAATCTGTTCCTCTTTACAATTTCTGTTTCCTAATTTCTTTTGGAAACCATGGAAACTAAGGCAGTAGGTAAGGACCTCCTAAGTGTCTGGTAACAACAGCCGGACAGATGGAGAAGCCTGGGAGCTATTCATTTTGGCTGGAGGGGAAGATAGAAAGCAGGACAGGATGCCAGAGAAGGTCAGCAAGGCCAAGTTGCAGAAGGTCACAGATGTCATTCATGGTTCTTGAGATGGGGAGCCAACACAGTGCTAGAAGGTGGTTGTAGGGAGCTGAGATCTAGGGCTGGGGTCAATAAGGACACCAGGAAGCAGCTAGGCGAGGCAAGGCTGCTGAGCTATCACAGCACCATAAGAAAAGAAAGAGAACCAGGTACCAACCAGGTGACATAGAGTTAACATGGAGCCAGATGGAACATGAGGCCATACCTAACACGGGCCTGCATTTGTTTCTCCCAATCAATTCCCACTTCTTTCTGTCCCATCTGATATATCCATTCTACCTCCAATATTTTCTTTAATCTTTTCCCTTTCTCTCCAATTTCTGACTCTGCATGAACCCAAACCAATGCCGTCTCTTTTATGGACTGTTCTGGTAGCTCTCAGACTTTCCCTCACAATCCCCTTGCATCTCCCAGTTCAAGATCCCATGCTGAAAATGATGGCTGCCAGAATCACATTTCTCTTGTGCCTCTCTCATGCCTTGACACCTTTACACCTGTGGGTCTGGGTCATTCTCCTCGGCATTACAGTGCACTATCGTTTTCTTCATGATCAGCACCCAACTGGTCAATTCAAGATCCCAGACAGCCCATGTGTCCATCACCTGACTCCCTCTATGCATCATGAACTCTTTCCTGTAATCCCATCTCAAAGAATTCATCTGTGTCTCTTGATTTTTCGGATGATTCTTTTCTAAACCCTTCCATTGCCTCCATGTTCTTTTTGGACTTTAGAAATCCATTTGGATTCTAAAATTTAATACAAAAAATGTTGAATGAGAGAGTCAGTTCCCATGCTTTACAAACTCCATCTAGTACACTCCAGAAACTAAGACCCCAGTTTTAGAAGACATCTGTAAAACAACTTCTTTGTAGTTTGGGTTTAGGATCACAGTTTATTTTTCCCCCTTTGGTGAAATGAAGCTGTACTCTTTAGCTACTGGGGTGGAGAAGGAAGATAGTAGAGCTGTAGGTTGTGTCTCTCCATGCGCTGTAGAGGACCTTGTAGTCAATGGGGATCTGAATGCTCTAATTACATCAAGGGTTTCAACCTTGGGACTCCACTTTAGCTCTCGCTTCTGACAAGTCTGCTAAGTTCAGGCTCTGTCATTCCTCAAAATGATCTTGAGAGTCAATTCACTTAAGAGCCTCCCCTGACCTCCAGGCTCCCGATTCCACAGCCAACTTTCTTCCCATCTCTCTTGGAGCTGGTTGCCATGAGGACTGTCTTCCTGAGCCTTTTAGACCTCTCTGAGTCCAGAAAGCTCTTTAGTATCATCCTGTGGAATCGGGAGCCCAGAAGTCAGACTCAATCCCTCTGTTCAACACTTTAAAGCTTGGGGGAATGTTCCTGGAGCCCCTAAGGCTGTGGTTTCCCTGTCTGGAAAATTATTGAATTCTCTAAGTTCTATGGTTTAACAACACCAATTTAATGGTACCCCTTTCAAAGCTGATGTAAAGAAAGGCTTAGAATTGTTTTTCTTTGTACAAGAAGCCATACATTGTACAGATAGGAGCTTCCCAGTCTTTCTCATGTCCTTTCCCTCCAAATGACTAAGAATGAAACCCTTGCATCCTTCCCACAACAGTCTGGTTCTGTGAGAGATGAATATGGACTCTAATCTACACATTAGCTGGAAAGTACTGTAGAAGTGGAACAGACATGGGCCTGCAAATTACAGGAAGATAAGAGGTGAAGGATATAGTTTAGTGACAGAATGTTTGTCTAGCATGTGTGAGACCCCGGGTTTACTTCCAAGTGCCTAGAAGGGGCAGAGAAAAAGAAGTAAGATACAATACTGAGATCATACAAGAATACCTTTATGAGACTTGAAGACTTAGGAGAACATCTGCCTAATTTCCCACTGGCTGCTCTACAAGGGGGATCTGTCCTTAAAAGGAAATGTCAGAAATGGGTAAGATGAGACCCGTTACCTTCATTCCACCAAGGTAAGTAGGAAGGGCAGGGAACAGAGACATTTCCAGGAGAAGAATGAGGCCAGCACACATACTGATCGAATGTTCCATTGCAAAATATGCCTGTGGAGAGAAGAGATGGTAGATCATATGTCAGTATTCTCCCACGGGGTCTTCTGAGAGAAATGGAAAGATCCAGAAGTTTAGAGCCCACTTTCCCATCTTTGGGAGACCAACATAGATATCCTTTTATCTAGAGCAGCCGAGGATAAAGAATAACTGGGGAACACAGGGATGCTGAACATAGCCCCAGCATTGCCTTTGTCTACCCAATTTGACCTCCACTCACTGTACGTGCCATGCTGGTTTTGCTTTGTTTTGTATGAACCGAAATCACAGGAGGGCCAGCCAGTGACTTGTGTTCCATAATTAATGTTTCAGAATAGAACACACTTGCTGTAAAATGATGAATGGATCTAAGGGAATCTGTGAAATTGCAGGTCTTGGTCACATACATCTAGCACTATTCTCATACTTATAGTTCTCTATTTGAATATTCAGTAATTAATATTAGAGGATTTTGGGTCACTTTAAATTCAGGAGATGGTTTATAGATCAGTTCTTGGTAGATAGAAGGTCCAAACTTAGAACACATTCTTACAGACCTCCTAGAATTTGATGGAGACATTTCATACCACAAGTTCCTGGGCTTCTCAGAAGCCAAGCCCCACCCTTCTCCCACCTCATTAGGGTGGAACCCAGGGACTTCTTGAGTTAAATAAGCAAGTTCCTAGCATTAAACCCCTTCAGACCTGACCCAGGTTTGCCCAATTATGAGCTACTTCTGGTCACTGCCAACCTGGTTGCCAGGTAACAACACTTGCTCTGCTTACATAACCACTCTGCTCACAGTACAGTTCCATATGAAGATGCCCTGCCCTACACTTAGACCTCAGAAGTAGTATTCCCTTGAAATGAAAAGGGATTTTGTAGTTGGCATCAAGCCTGGGCAAAGGGGGTCCTCACAAAGGGCTAGGGGTAACTCTTGAAGGCTGCTATTCACTTTGGGTCATGTTAGCAGAGAAATAGAGTGGCTTCTAGCACTGCTAGGCAACTGAATGAAATGATTGACAGGTGTCAGGTGGAGGAAAGGTAGCCTTTATCTGTTTATCCATCCATGATGCTCAGAAGCAATGAGTCAAGGCACTTTATGGTTTTTGTTTTCATTGATTTGGTTTTGCTCTAAGCCACTGAGATTGAAGGCAGCTTATTACATAGCCACAGATAACTAATACATGTACTTACCAGAAGGTTCATTGAGCAAGTCTCTCAGACACTTCTCCCTATACTGAGCCCACTTCCGAGTTGTATCCTCAAGGAGAGATCCTGTAACCTAAGCACACAAAAACATGGTCAGCTTCAAGCATGGTGGCGCATACCTGAAATCTCTGCATGTATTTGGCCAAGGCAGGAGAACCAGGAGTTCTAGGCTAGCCTGAGCTACATGGCAAGGCTCTGTCTAAGAAACAAAACAAATAAACAACAAACACAAGGTCACTCCCAAGTAGCTACAAGTCCAACTGTGGGCCTGTTTTCCCACACCCTGGTCCTCAAATTGCCTTCTGAGGTAGCCCATACCAAACTACAGAATTTCCTTGGTGTCTTACTTAAAAATAATTCTGATTTTTGCATTTTCTCCATAATATATCTATAGTTATTTTGATAAAAATATGATTCTTTTCAAAAATCTTTAAGTTTGACATTTCAAGACAACATAAAACAGGCAGGCTGAACTTTCACAACTTGCACAGAAATGCTTGAGTGCTCCTGAGACCAAGTAGATACCCAGAAGAAAAGCACCTTGCTAAGAGAAGCCCAACAGTGTGAAAAAAGAACCCCCGCCTACACACACACACACACACA